GAACCTTGTCCTCACAGGATGGAACCTTGTCCTCACCGGCAGGAACCTTGTCCTCACCGGCAGAAACCTTGTACACACCGCCAGGAACCTTGTCCTCACTGGCAGGAACCTTGTCCACACTGGCAGGAACCTTGTCCTCACTGGCAGGAACCTTGTCCACACCGCCAGGAACCTTGTCCACACCGCCAGGAACCTTGTCCTCACCGGCAGAAACCTTGTCCACACCGCCAGGAACCTTGTCCTCACCGGCAGGAACCTTGTCCTCAACGCGAGAAACCTTGTCCTCACCAGCAGGAACCTTGTCCACACCGCCAGGAACCTTGTCCACACCGCCAGGAACCTTGTCCTCACCGGCAGAAACCTTGTCCACACCGGCAGAAACCTTGTCCACACCGGCAGGAACCTTGTCCTCACAGGCAGGAACCTTGTCCTCACCGCCAGGAACCTTGTCTTCACCGCCAGGAACCTTGTCCTCACAGCCAGGAACCTTTTCCTCACCGCCAGGAACCTTGTCCTCACCGGCAGAAACCTTGTCCACACCGCCAGGAACCTTGTTCTCACCGGCAGGAACCTTGTCCACACCGCCAGGAGCCTTGTCCTCACCGCCAGGAACCTTGTCCTCACAGCCAGGAACCTTGTCCTCACAGCCAGGAACCTTGTCCTCACAGGAAGGAACCTTGTCCTCACCGCCAGGAACCTTGTCCTCACCGCCAGGAACCTTGTCCTCACCGCCAGGAACCTTGTCGTCACCGGGAGAAACCTTGTCCACACTTTATTTATATAAAAAAAAATGGATCCGATGGATCTGATGGATCCAATGGATACATTGGATTTTAGTTATATAAAAAAAAATGGATCTTATGGATCTGATGGATCCAATGGATTTTAGTTATATAAAAAAAAAATGGATCTGATGGATCTGATGGATTTTAGTTATATAAAAAAAATGGATCCGATGGATCTGATGGATCTAATGGATTTTAGTTATATAAAAAAAAATGGATCTGATGGATCCGATGGATTTTAGTTATATAAAAAAAAATGGATCCGATGGATCTGATGGATCCAATGGATACATTGGATTTTAGGTATATAAAAAAAAAATGGATCCAATGGATCCAATGGATACATTGGATTTTAGTTATATAAAAAAAAATGGATCCGATGGATACATTGGATTTTAGTTATATAAAGAAAAATGGATCCGATGGATACATTGGATTTTAGTTATATAAAAAAAAATGGATCCGATGGATCCAATGGATTTAGTTATATAAAAAAAAATGGATCCGATGGATCCAATGGATTTTAGTTATATAACTAAAATCCATTGGATCCATCGGATCCATCAGATCCATCGGATCCATCAGATCCATCGGATCCATTTTTTTTATATAACTAAAATCCATTGGATCCATCGGATCCATCAGATCCATTTTTTTTTATATAACTAAAATCCATTGGATCCATCGGATCCATCAGATCCATTTTTTTTATATAACTAAAATCCATTGGATCCATCGGATCCATTTTTTTTTATATAACTAAAATCCATTGGATCCATCAGATCCATTGGATCCATCGGATCCATTTTTTTTTATATAACTAAAATCCATTGGATCCATCAGATCCATTGGATCCATCGGATCCATTTTTTTTTATATAACTAAAATCCATTGGATCCATCAGATCCATTGGATCCATCGGATCCATTTTTTTTTATATAACTAAAATCCATTGGATCCATCAGATCCATCGGATCCATTTTTTTTTTAATAATAAATTCAGTGTTTTGGGATTTGAACCCACAAACCAAATAGTACTGTGACAATCCAGAAGGTGGTCTGTAAACATTGGCACAAGAGCTTGTTCGCCATGCGTAAATTTTTAACTAGTTTTTGGGATTGCATTTATTCAAATTTGATGTGATTTTGAACATATACGTTACTCATTCTATGAGTAAAATATTGTTCGTTTATACATTGTTCTAGTTTCTATAGCTTTTATTGCCTTAACAGTCGAACTATATGTGATTTTGAATCATTTGTTAATTGTTCGTTCATTTTATTATGCATGACAAAACCAGAAATTTATAGTTTGATGGTCACAACAAATTTGAG